TCTCTGGCGAAAATTCCGATGGGCAATCCCTTATACTTCTATTCTCAGGTGATTCTCTGGCGAAAATTCCGATGGGCAATCCCTTATACTTCTGAAATGTTTATTTTCTCAATGAACTTTTGTTCTAAAGTATTCGTAAAGTTTTGATAAGTTATATTGGCGGCTATAGGCTAATTCGCCGCAAAAAACGATTAGAAAACTAAACGGCAGAGAAGGATGCATCGATGAGAAAAAGCAAAAATATGGCCTTTTTCGTTGATTTCTGCTGAATAAAAAAACCCTCTCTGTCGAAACAATGTAAAATCGAGGCATCCCGAATATATCACCTCGGTAACCTGTGGATCTTGTTGAATTATTTCGGTACGCTATGCTTCATATTCTCTCCGTATTGCGCCATCCATCTTTTGCCATTTCATCATCGAAGACCGATAGGAATCCTCTGTTCACCCCACAGTGACCCTTTAAAATTTACCTACCAACAACACAACGCATCTATCAAACGATATCCATAAATTATTTATCAGCCGAGAAATAGAGATACAGCTGCCAATTTCGCCTTTATTACGTTTTGATTACTAGAAGTCGTATTTGCGTTTTTTAAATTTGGTTTAAATAATAATATTAATAATATTGTAAAATTTAGTGATAATTTAATAGTATTATATAATAAATAATAAAGTAATATAATAATATTAATATTAAATAATAAATAATATTAAGTACAAAATAAAATTTAATAATAATATTAAATTTTAATAATTTCAAGTGGTAATAATTAGAAAAAAGGCATTTGTTTCATCTTCGTTCATAGCTTATTGACCTTTCAACCTTTTACAAAAATGCTTCGAGCAGTTTCTGGCTTTACTGATACCAGAACGAGAGTTTCTTAAGGGTTGAAATACATATGGCTTCCCATTAGTCATTTAGAGGACTTAGATTTTTATAATAAATTTATTCAAAAATGGGATTAGCGTAAAGGATCTTTTAAAATACAACAATACTAAGTTGTAAATGAAAAGTTGCTTCTTTGCTTTTTTTTTTCAATCCTCTAAAACTATGTTTTTATAATTGTAAATATTATATTTTTAAAATTTTCTAATTATTTAATTCTAATTATTTTTTATTATAACTACGTATCGATTATTTATAAATTATAAGTTTTTTAAAAAGAAAAAAATTTTTCAATAATTTTAGATTTGTTTGAATTAAAAAAAAAAAAAAAGAATATGGAAATGAATGAATTATTTAGTGAATTAATTAATGATGAAATATTAACGAAACGCGAGAAATCTGTTGATAAATCGTTAAAATATTTTGTTAAAAAATATTCACCTTATTGGTTTCTTTATTCGGTACGTTTCTTTTTTATTAATTTTTATAAATTAAAAAATTTTATAAATTTTAAGAAATAAAGATTTTTTTTTTTTTTTTTTCACTAATCGGATCTCTGAAGGATTGATTTACGCGAATAGAATCACAGCATTAGTGCTCGAACGCGTTCGCCAACTCTGAACTATTCTAAATTTCATTTTGCTTTCGTTATTCAGCGCCATCGCTGTAGAACGAAGCGCATCAGTCGAATTCTAGCATTTCTGATTCTAAAATTTATGTCTTATCGCTATAATTTATTAAATAATTAGTAATTTTAGTAATTTTTAGCATTTGGCATTTATTAATTCCAAATAAAAATATTAAAAATAGATACTAAATAGATATTAACAAATCTGCCAATGTAAAAAATATTTATTGGCGAATTATGAATGTAAACCCTATAAAAAAGATTTTATTATGCGTCTTAAGTATTAGTTGGGCTTATTGTTAGTATACTTAAAAACTTTTTCCAAAGAGTCAATTTATTTTATAATTTTGGAAAAAGAAGCCAAATTAAATCAGAAAGTCAAAATGGGAATACACTGAGAATAAGAAATTACAGAGTTACCTGAAGTTTCTTATGACTCATTTTTCTTTCAAATGCTTATCAGCTAAGCAGAGCATAAAATCACACTGGTGTTAATGAGAACAATTAAGGTCAAAGCAAATAGTACATATTGAAATGAATTAAAATGCAAAGTAAAATAATAAAAAAAAGAATGGGACCAATAGTGAATCAGTGGGGGGATAGAATGGCTTAGTGGGTTGTTGCTCAATTAGGAGTGTCGATGCTGAGATTCTATTCCCCGCAGGAGAAAACTTGGACAAAAATCCAAGTGATGCTGGCGACTCATCTGTCGCCAAGGGACTCTCTGGCATATTGCCCAGTGCGACAAGCCAGTGGAGTTTTTCATAAAAACCAGTAATAGTGAGGGTTGAAAAAAAAAAGTGAATTAAGAGTTCATAAGTTGTCTTAAATGTTCAAATTTATTTTCAATATATGCAATATAAGTGTCAGTTGAAATGGCTTTTATGGATATACTTAATAAGATAAAAGAAATATAGAAGATAGAAATAAAATAAGATAGATTCTGATACTAATTATTTTTCTAAAATTCTTTTCAAAGATTCTTTCAGAACGAGAATATGGAAGAATGTCAGAAGAAAGAATTAATTTTATATCGAGCAGCATGTGCTTATTACAAAAAGGATTTTCATCGTTCATCTTCAGTTTAATTTTTCTCTTTATTTATTTAGAAACAAGCTAACGATATTATATATTATTATCTTTGGTGATTGTTATTGTTTGTTTATTTTTATAAGTTCAGGAGTTTGAAAAGTTGGCGAACATTACTTCTTGTAAAAATGATCATAGTTCATTTTCACTAACTGATTCGGTTATACGCTCTTTATTGAAGGTTCATTTTTTGTATTTTTTAAAATCACATTCATCAAGTAAAAAGATAATTCATATTTCGAGAGTTCGATCTATATTCTTAAAAATCTTGTCGGATATATTTATTTTTTGAAATCACGAAATTATTCATAAAGTGAATGAAACAAGAAAAAATTTATCTAATTACAATTAAAATAATCTGTAACCAAAATTATTTCGAATTAAAAAAAATTTCAGGCAGATTTTGTAGATCATAAAAATGTACTGAAAATGCTTGAACATAGTCTATCGTCTTCAGTTTGTACGTATGGCGGACAACTTCAGTATTGGTCTCTGTACCTTCAGGTTTATTTTTGAATTTTATTTGCAACTACCATAGTTTTTGCTTTTACTGGCTATTAAGATGATAACCTTTATTCGAGAATTCATTTACGAATATAATCCCAATTGGATTCATTGTAACCACCTGAATTAGATTCTTAATGGTAGGTTTACTCTTGTCAAGAGACGAGATTCGAATCCAAGATTTTATAGTTCAATTTTTTCCGTGAAATTAATAGATACGATGTATATTATATTATTTTATTAAATTTTATATTTATTACATTTGATCAAAATTAATTTTAGCTTCTTTAGGTATATCAAAAGGTAAAGTTATTTGATAAGACTCATTTTCGAATTAACGTTTTATTGTGCGCCGTTGTTGGTTTACCAGAACATTGGATTGCTTTAGCTGAATTTGGATCAGAGGTAAAACTTTTTTTGGTTATATAAATTTTCTTGCAAATGCGGGTTAAATTATGAGGAAATTATATTCATTTTTTATTTTTTTTACATCTTGGCGCATAATTCATTTGTTAAAAATCTTTGATTAATTGGATATGAATGTGGATGTGGCTGTGACATTAGATAGAGTTAGGGTATAAAATGTTCGCCAATTTGATGAAAACCTATCGCAGAGTGCTTGTTATTGCGGTTATTGTTTCGCAAACTTGACACTGATTAAAGAAAAAAATATTCTGTGAAATGACTTTAATTCTTTCGATTGTATTTTTTTGCGATTTGACTGGCTATCTCTTTTCATCTTCCTTTCATTTTTATTTGTCCTTGTTTTCCTTATGAACTGCTTGTTTTCTGTTCTACTTTAATTTCTGCAATTATTCTTATCTCCAAGTTATTGTAATTTCATTTCATAATTATTTACCTTCAGTGGGTATTATTTCACTAATTTTTCTAACTGTTCCAAATATCGGAGGTTCACAACAGCTGCTATTCGATCCCTCTTTTATTGCAATTTAGAACACCTATTTTATAAACACTTCTTTTCTATCTACACTTTTATTGTTCTTTTCTCACTACACTTTTTGTTAGCGAAATGGTTTATCGAATTCGCTATGAAAGTGCAGACAGACACATATTTGTTAATTTGATTGCTTAATTCATTAAAAAAATTAAAAAAAATGAATTTAACTACTATTACAGTTCATTTAGAAAATTAAATTTGACTTGACATATATTTCAAGGTTTAAATTATTCTGCTAGATTTAAGCAGTCTTCATTTTATTGGGGATGTTATTGTCGTGCCTTATATTTATTGCAACTGCAAACTATGAATTGCCAAGGATTCATGCGGGAAATAAGTGAGAAAAAATTATCGGAAATACAAAAAAAATTTTCACGTAGCACATGCGAGGTCAGTTTTGTTTTTCATTTAGAGTTATGATTTTGTTTTTTTATTATTTTAATATTATTAGTTTATTTTAATATTGTAATTTTCATATTAAGTGGTGCATTTATGCATTAATGATAATTAAATGATAAATAAAAAAATGATATAATTGTTTTTTTCAATAAAAGCTTATTGGATGATATATTTGTTTGTAAATTATGGTGATTTATTTAATTTTTAAATCATCTTTCTTTTTCATTTTATTGTTTTTTCATATTTGTTTTCCTTTGATTATTTTTATTTTTACTTTTTTACTCATTTATTTATTTATATTTTCTTTTAAAATTTTTCAGTCATTCATTGTAAAGGAATGCATGAAAAGGATGAAGGAAAATAATTTCAATAATGAATCAACTTCTCTAATTGATCCAAAAATGAAATGTCTTTATAAAGATGATAAGGAGCAAGAACGAATAATTAATGATTTTGTCGAACGATATTCGTGGTTATTTGAAAACGATTCGCATTTATTAGATATGTTAAAATTTGATGAGCGATAAGAACCAACACAGTGATATTTGTAATTGATAATCTTGCGATAACGGTTTGTGGTTATGTTTGGTGATAATTTTATTTGTTAAGACTTTCCTTAATTACGATTTAATAGAGTCTTTAACGGCGATTTATTGTAATATTTTATAAAAATTGATAAGTTTCCTTTCAATGTTCCTTTGGTTGATGTAAGCATTTTACCGCGTAAAGAGAGAATCAGTGTAAAACGAGTTTTATGCGTTAATTTTGTTTATTTGTCGAGTTTTTGATGTTCAATTTAGAATATTTTGTGCTTTCAAAATAAATTCATTAAATATTGCTTATTTTAATGCCAAAGTTTAAATCACTAGGAAATTTTAGAAATTTTAGATTTTCTTTGTGAATACGAATTATGCAGCGTAATGACGCGAACACCTAACGGGCACTTTTATTTTAGATTTGTGGGAAACGACCAACGTTGCCCCTATGGAAAACGTAAATGAGAGGCCCGAAGAGAAACACAGAGGTGGAAATATGCCTTGGCCGACATGCATTATATACATATGGTAGACGTATACTGCGAAATAGTCGCATAAATTGATTTATAACTTCAATTATGGTTCTAATGGTTCTTACAATGTATTCTATATTTGGACGGATTCCCTCATTAATTTCCACCTCTAAAAAAAACATCTTTGTGGCCACTTTACCTAAATGTAAACGCATCAGGGAGGGGTAGTGGAAGGGAGCCTATATACTTTGATCAAATGTAAGGGCGCTATAACGCTTCTAACTTCATAAATTTAATTTTTTAGTCTTAAAGTGATTGTTTCGATAATGTCGCCTGTATTTGTCATTGATGCTGATTGGTGACGTCCAATTGCTGATAATGTTTTATTGTGTTGAATGAAGTGGTGAGGGGTGGGAGGGGGGGGGGGGGGGGGGGGGGGGAGGGGAAGAGTGGAGGTGTTAATCGTGGTCGCGGGGTGTTTATTGGAATGTGGCTTTGATTTTTTTCCTTTCACGATAGTTCTTTCTTTCACTGGAAGTACATTCTCTAAGGATGGAAAATTTGTTAGAGGGTTCCATTGTTGTAGTTAGTGCATTCAGCTAAACGAGAACCTTCAAAGAGGAAAAAAAAATGAAGGGAATGCCACTAAACTGGACGACGATTGAATAAAATAAAAAAAGAACAGGAAGCACTTTCATTTTTTCCTTAGCGATTCGTTTATAAATAAGAAATATCAATAAAAATTCTCGCTTTCCGTTAGTGTATTTAGTATTTATAAGTTTAGTATTCGTGAAAGTAATTGATTTAAATTAACAATTTTTTTCATGAAAATTTCCAAAAAAGCCGAATAATCAATAATTCATAGAAGATTTTATCGAATTTTATGTTAAAAATTTCGACGAAAAAAAATTTTTGAGTAAATAAAAAAAATAAAAAATCTATTATTTTTCAATTATTCGTTAATAAATTTCGGCGCTACTGTGCTACGGAATTTGCCGAACTGATGCTTTGTCTATTGGGATATTTTTTTCTTGTTGTTGTATAATATTTAGTCTGCCTAATATCTTTTAACCGATAGCACGTTCTTTTCCAAAATATTGTACCATTGGATCGATAATATCACCTAAATTTTTAGGTTTTCGGTTATTCGTTAATAAAATTTATGTTTTCAGTCTTTCATATACAAATTTTAACGATTTCATTGTTAAACTATAATTATTGAACGAAAAAATTTGTTAATCGAAGACGGGTTGTTTTCGCGAATTATTCACATTTCTAATAAAGGTAATTTTTTTTTCAAGAAATTAAAAGTATGAATAGAATTTGATTATATATTTATATTATCTTATTATATTATTTTATGCGCATGAAGCTGATAAAATGCCTCGTGCTTATAAATTTATTGCCGGCTGAGAGGGTGCCCGATTTTAAATAGCTTGGATCCATTCTATTACCCAATGGCCAGGCAAAAGACGATATTATAGCCCGGATCACGTCAGCTAGAAATGCGTCCTTCCGGTTGGCGAAACCTTTATGGAGTCGTGAAATTACCATAAAAGCGAAAGTCCTCATCTATGTAACGGCGATTTGTTCGATCTTGCTCTGAGACATGGCCAATGAGGGTGGAGAATATTAAGAAGCTATGTATTTTTGGCCACTCTTGTCTGAGGTACATTTTACGGGTCCATCGAGCGGATAAAATATCACATGATCGCATCCACTTTCGTTCAGGTGCTACTTGCATTAATGATGTTATCACAGAGCGTCTCCTTCGCTGGTTAAGGCACGTTCTCCGTCGTCCACCACAGGAGTTGACGCATATTTCGTTACTGGCTTAACTCTGTGATGGATGGCGTCAAAAGTGAGGTGGACCAATCAAGACTCGGGCTGATACGTTCAGAGAAAATTTTTAACGTATAGGTGGACCAGCAATATGTGGATCTGTTACTTTCAACGATGGCATCAGATCGCTCCGCTTGAAAGCGTCTTACCTTTGTAGCTGTTGGAACCAGCCTAACCAGTAATGGTGAGAGTTAGAAGAAGAAGATTATATTAATGATCGATTATGTATGGTCGTTTTTGGTTTTAATAATAATTTTCGGCGTTCTGACTAAAGGTGTAAAAGATAGGATCGTTGAACGGTAAATTGATCATTATCATTACTTATTTTTTTATTATCATCGCTACTAATACGATATAAGTTGTGGAGAATAGAAGATAATCATACATAACTGGAGTTTAAAGTTCAGAGACAGATTTACCGTTAGAAATGAAAGGTGCTATAAAAGATTTTAAAAAATATGAAAGGAAGTTTCGTTAATCATCGATCTTGCTATATGGCTGCGAGATATAGCCAATGGGAGCGAAGAGCACTTTGACCATAAATTCTCTATCATTGAGCTTCTTTCAAATGATGGCGTGATGTATCAATCAAGACCTGAACTGATACGATCAGAAAAGATTCTGAACATATAGATAGGCCAGCAATATATGGACTTAGACGGTGGAAAAGGAATGTTTTCGAGTACTGTCAGTGATTTCTTGGACCGAATACCTTGGTTCATTTTTGGCGAAGTTCGAATTTGGATATATTTTTCTCTAAAAGAATAAAGATTACCATAAATATATTGAAGATAAATCTTAATAAGTGGTTAAGTTAGACTCTAAATTAAATTTTTTTTTCCACTAACTGCGCCCACTATTTCTGATTTGGCTGATTTGGATGTTTTGCTAGGTGGAGCCATTTGAGTCACAAAAAAAATTTAAGCAGCCAGCATCACCTGGGTTTTTTTGAAAGGAATATTTTAAAGCCACCTTTTTACCAGAAGCGGGTCGCTGAGGATTTCTTTTCCGAGGTGAGAATAGCGAGCTACTAAGCAGTTATAAGCTTTAGGTTAGATTCTCTTTATGTTTATAATTGCATTAATGCCGATATAAATTACATTTCAGACATTTTTGTTTTTGTTGATATTTTGTTGTGTTAGAAATGTTTTTGCTAAAAATTCAAGATTTCTCAGGAATTTTGCACAAACTGAATGTTAAGGAAAAAAAAAGAATGATTTTATCGACAAAAGTGTGGGAACAATATTTCATGTTTTTTCACTTCATTAGTGAATTAGGACGCCTTCAAACGATTGTAAAATTTGCTCGTAGGTTTTGATGGGGTATGGAAAGTGTGTTGTTCGGTTCGATGGCTTGAAAAGGTCGTTAGAGTTTAAGAAAACAGTAGCTGAAATTTTTCATCGAATTTTGCAAACGCGGATATCAATATAGAATATGTTTTTATCTTGCTGAAGATTTTCGCATTAAATTGATTCAGTGAGTGTTTTTCCAAATGGATGTGGATAAAAAGTGTGAAGAATTTTCTTCTGTTCAATATTTGATCGTCTTGGAATTTATATGAGTTGGAATGTTTTGGTAGTTATCTGGAAATAATGGCTTTATGAAGTAATCACCCAGTGAATCTCACTGTTATGGGCTACTTTATTGGTTTGGTGAACAATAGAACAATCTTTGATGACTGTTGGTCAATTGATTTCAAAGCATTTTTGTTTTATTCATAATTTTGTTCATTTTCTGTGTTATATTCTCCGTGTTAAATTGATTATTCACTTTTTCATTAATATTTGAGGATATGAAAAACTAATTGGAAATCAAATCATCGAATTAACATGTTGGCATTTTTATTAATTTCAGATTGATTTTGTTATATAATTGTAAATTTATTCCTGGTAATTTTAATATTTCCGAATAATTTCATTCATTTACTCGATATCAAATAAATATGAGTGGAGCAGTGAGGAATGCAACACATGCCGGTTCATGGTATATTATCTTTATATTAAACTATTAAACTTCATATTAAACTTTCGGTTAGAGAAAATATAGGAGAGAATCGTTTTCGTGAATATCAGGATATGGGGATATGAAAATAGCACAAAAGATTTCTGAAATTTTTAATTTTTAAGTTAAGAAGCGAAAAACTTTTAAGTTACTCATTTTCTTGAATTCATAAAAATCCTTTTCTCACTCTTTATGAGTTATTTGGGTCATTCTTAACCTCGGATTCTTTAAAGGGAGCCGGGGGGGGGGGCGTATAGGCTCTACATTCGCAGCATGGGCTCTTCCGGACAGATTTTTGATATTGTCCCTGGAATTTTCAAATCACTTCTCCAGTTCAAAGCCTCTATTACTTGTACCACCAGTGGGACTACTTTGCTCTTCACATTCCACACCTCATCTCTCTTTCAGATCTGATATTTCTTTAGCTTCTCGCATTCTTCCTTCCTAATATTGTTTTTACTTGGTTTTGCTATGTCTGTCACCATTCCTTATCATCCATACTACTGCATATCTTGCTTGTATATCTGGATGGAGATCTCGGGATTTTGACCTTATTCTTTATGATTTTCTGAGGAGTCTTCCATCTGGTTTTGCAAAGATCTAAGGGACACTGAACAGATATTCTGTCGATAGTGTAGCTACTTGTTTGGTCCTTTTAGTATATATGTATATTGTTTTACTTATTTTTTTACATCCTGCATTGGACAATCCTACTAGATATTAGATATCTGAAGCACAATCTGCGCCTGAGTTCTAATATGATAGATCTCTGCTTCGATGTTTTTAGTACCTGTTCTTTTGCTGTTCTAATAACTAGTAGGGTTTCCTAAGCCACCTCAGCTATCTGTCGATGGTGAAGTACATGGAGAGCCTTTTTTTGCCATGGTATTTCCTCAGCTTGAACGTTTTCCTTCCAATGTCTCTGCATGCTTCAGACATTCTCTCAGAAATTCATCCTTTGTTGTCATCTTGCTGATGGAATTCTGGGTGCTTCGGACTTCGTTTTAGATAATGGTTTTGACACTCATCAAAACAGTCCACCCTCCTTTTTTTCGGCTGGTGTGCAATGTTTGGGTGATAAAATTAGAATTTTAAGGTCTTCACATCAGCAGTCTTCATATCTTCCTATATCCATCTATTCGTAATAACCGGAAGGGTTTATATATTTATGGCATGGATTTTGTTTCTCCCATTAACTGTTCAAGATCCACTCTGGTGGTATTTGATTGTTACTGTTTTCCTTGTCTCTTCTTCATGCCAAGGTATTGATCTAGTCTGCCACATAATATTCTGAGGGGTCCACCTTATCAATCATAACCACTGCCTCTCTTTACCACCATCTGGCCACACTTCAGGCCGAATGGCATCCCATTGTTTCCGTTATTAAATGAGTGAAATGTGTTCATGCCTCGTTCGCTTTTTATAAGTTGATCATCCATGTAGGGAAGATAAAGCTGTTGGTAGTTCCCCTCTTAAATTATGTTCATTTAACTTATCGTAATCTGAGAATTTATAGCTCTACGGTAGAAGGTATGCAAAGTGTTTTGAATTGACTTCACTTGTCTTTTTTCCATTCAGTTGTCGATGAAGGTTTCTAGGCTGGACCGATACGGTCAGAAAAGATTTTCAACTATAGGTGGACCAGCAATTTATGCGCCTAGACGATGGAAAAAGGAATGGCTTCTGTTACTACCTCTACAGTGGCGTCAGACCGTGTGGCTTGGAAACGCCTTACCCTTGTAGCATTGGAGCCAGCCTAATCAGTAATGGCTGTTAAAAGAAGGAAATCTATAGGATCTTGAACTATAGTCAGTCCAAGCTGTATTCACAGATGTGTCGAGATATTGAGTCTTAAATGCTGTGTCTGTTAGTAGCTGGTGTTTAGAGCCTTTGGTATTCTCTTAAAATGTCTTCTGTAGTACTGGCTTATGTGGTTTTGTACCTTGATTTCTTAAAAAGATAGGTCGGTAATAGTATTGTTTTCTTGCAATTAATCAGCTTTTTACCTTTCATTTCCTGTGTTAACCAGTCTGAGTCACAACCTGCTACAAAAAGCTGATTAATTGCTAGCCATTCATGAAATGCTATTAGTTTCTTTTGCTAACAGATGTGGGTTATGTGCGGACCAAGTGCTGTCCAGCTTTTTTCATTTTTTTAACTCGCTGTTGAATGTCTTGTGCTATTGTGAGGTTTCTGCTCCGTGTGTTGTGTTCTTTTCTTAATTCCTGCAGCCACTTTGCACTGATGTTATCGATCTTTTTCTCTCCCATATTCATCCAATATTGTTCATTTTTGCTGTTAGTGGATACTGTTATGCTGTATATTGTTTACTATGTGTATACTCTTAAATATTGTTGCACTGCGATTGAGAGCATACCTTGGATAGTTTTTTATCTTTTTGACCTATAGTCATTTTTCTGGTGGCCATTGTTTTGCTCTTGTTTAGTAGTCTCTGCTTCTGATCAAGTCTAGCTCCTGTGTTTTTTCAGTAACCGATCTCATTCTTTATTTCCAGCTTCTATGTATTGTGCTCTAATTGTATCCTTCAGCCTCATTTTCCAAAGGCGATATGCATTGCAATTGTATATAAATTATAATATATATATATATATTTGTATCTATATGAAGATTCAATTCAACATAAGGGATTTAAGGTATACTGATAATGGTAGAGAGCTCAATAAACAGCTTTCGGATTGGTTGGCTGCGGTTCCTTTTGAGTCATCATCATCAAAACCAGTCAAAGCCATCATCTCGCCGTAAATTAATTGATGAATTGTTTTTCGAATTTTACGCACATTTTATCTTAGAATGCTGGTTTATATTTAACCGGTAATGCTGACACTTGCTCAGATCTGTTTCCTTTTTTTTTCGAAATTTACTGAAATGAATTCAATTAAACTTGAAGAAATTTAGACATGCTGGCTATTCCTATTGTGGTAATACTGCGGCCTATGCTTACAAACAAATTGCTCCTGAAGGAATGTTAGTTGTATCGATCAGGATCTTTCGTTTATTTTCTGGAGATAGATTTGCCGTTTTTATGTTTTTTTTTGATCCTCTTCCATAAAAATTTAAAATGAAAAAGCCGTGAATTCTTCATTATTCCTCGTTATATTTATTTTCTATATTTTCCGCAATTTAAAAGCAGTAAATTTTTTTAGAAGTACGGTTATTGTCCTTGGTCCTTCTCATGTTGTTTGCTTAAATGGTTGTGCCTTGTCAAATTTTTCCTGTTATCGTACTCCCATTGGCGATCTTCCTTTAGATAAAAAGGGTAAGTTTGTGATGTTTGTTTTGTTTTTTTTCGCTTTCAAGGTCAAATTTTCTTAAGAAACCAAATGTATGTACTGAATAGTTTTTAGTTAATGCGGAATTACGGGAAACTGGCTTATTTGATACAATTGATGTCAGGAGTGAAGAAAGTGAACATAGCATTGAAATGCAATTGCCCTTCATTGCTAAAATTATGGAGAAGTAAATTCTTTATGGATTTTCCATTTTTAATTTTTATCATATTATGTCATAAATATTTTTTCAAGTAATTATAATCTATCATTTGGTATTTAAGAAGATTTAACTTTTTTTTTTATTACATTTTTCGTTGTAGATACTTGAAGTAGAGAAATTGCAGATGTTCTTGTTCCCAAATTTACTTTAATTTCTTGTTGGTAAAGCAGTTGATGGTGAAATGAATTTGCAGAAAACTCGGTAGTTTCGGTATCGTTCCTGTTTTGGTTGGTTCCGTACCATCTTGCAAACAAGTTATATATGGGAAAATTTTCGCAAAATATCTTGCTGATCCTTCAACGTTTATTGTTATAAGTTCCGACTTCTGTCATTGGGGTGATTTTTTCAAGTTTAATTTTATTCATTTGCTTCGAGATGATATATCATGCTACTTGTTGGGTAAAAATTTGAGGAAAAATTAGGTATAGTTTATCGCTATTCATGGAATGTGAAATAAGTAATTAAGTTTTTTACATAAAATTTCCATTTTAAGCACTTGCATTTCTTAGATTCGTGAAAGGTTGACGATAGAATAAAAGTTCTTTCCATCAATTTGTATAATTTTTAATGAAATGAAGAATGAGTACAAATATATCATATTCATTTCAGGTCATCGTTTTCATTTTGCTCCATATACGGCAAACACGGATGTACCGATATATGAGCAGATTGCTTTTCTTGACAGACAGGTCCGAGTTCATTTATCTAATTTATCTATTCATTAAGTATTAAATATGTCGTATAAGATAGCATGTTTTAGGGCATGGATGTGATATCACGGCTTCAGCCAAATGCTTTCAATGATTATTTAAAAAAAACTCAGAACACTATTTGTGGTAGAAATCCCATATCAATTTTGTTGAATGTTAGTTTATTGTTTCCTTACTGGATTTATCTTTATTTATTTCTTTACATGTAAACTAAGCAGGGCATAAAGCCGTAATTAGTGGTAATAAGTGGAGTCAGAACAAAGATTAATATAAATGAATAGAATAAAATAAAAAGTAAAATAAAAAAGCAAAAAATTGTTACTGAAGCAAATTATCACCTGATATTATATTGGATCGAGGATGCAAATTTCTTTTTTATGTTGTTTTGTATGTCCTTGTTGACAGGTGGGACAAAAATAATATCAGGTGATAATTTGCTTCAGTAGTTATTATATTGAAAGAAAAAATTGTGATACAGGGCTTGCGCATCTTCAATCCATCACGTCCAATTTTTATATTGAATATTGCATTTTTATTCGAGTGGGCGGGCTAGTTAATGATATATTTCTTCGACTAGGTTCAAGAATCTGGATTTTTGTCCGATAGGAAAAACTTGTTACAAAAGTGAAACTAATTATGAAGATCCACTTTTATTTCTGTCCTTTCTTAATTACTTTAATAAAAAGGATCTTACTATAGTAAGTAATATTATGAAGTCAGCTATGGTATTATGAGTACTATTAGAACGAGGAAGATAAAGAATGAAATTTTCTTTACAAGAATTTTCAATGTTACGTCTATATATTATTTGTGAATTTGTCATGGATTTGTTAATAGTACTATAATGTTTTTCTGGTTTTTGTTTCCAGAATACTACATATTAAACAGTAATTTGTCAATTAGATAAATGGTAAATGGAAAATTTTTCAAAATTTTAAACTTCTTTAGAAATTCGGTATTTGCAGGCTATAGATTACATTCGCCAGAAAGATAAATTCGCTGCAGAATTTCGTTTTCTCAGATATTCACAATCTAATCAGGTATTCTGTTTAATCATTTTTTATTTAATGTATGCTAGTCCATCACAAGGTAAAGATTTGCAATCGTAAGCCTTGTGCTTGCTGTTCTTGCTGTTTTCCTTATACTGAAAATAATCATTATTTTAGTGTAACTCGGTTCACGATTCATCTGTGTCTTATGCAGCCGGTGTTTTATATCTCTCATCCTTGAACTAACAAAAATTATGGCTAAGGTTTCACTCGTCGAATTTATGCTAAAATTTTTGTCTATCAATTATTCCATTATTAACTAATTGATTTCATTAAGAATTTAGACGCAACATTTCGAAGAAAAATTAACATTGTTAAAAATTAATATTAAAGGACGCGTTTTTCATTTATAAGCATTTGCATTGAATTGTAGTTCTGTAGATTGAAAACGAATTGTCGAAAAATTTTCTGGAGTATCCATGTACAATCTTTATTCTGTACATTTTTCTCGTTGAATTTTTTGTAATTTTTTGTTATTCAGTTAGGTGAAGCGAAGTTATTTAATAGCATTATTATCAATAAGATTTATAATTTTGTAGGTTTTCCCTTTACAAACGCGTTTGCTGAGCTTGAGTCGTTCGCATTCCTTGCTTCTACATTATTGTATCATGTTTCAGCGAATAAATGGAAAATGAAAAACCTTCCATAATTTCTGTTATCTCTTTCATTTTTGGCTCATTTATGAAGATTATTTGTTTCGCCAATAGATTGCTTTTTCTTGAGCACAGCTCTTGAATTCATTTTGATTTCAGAAAGATAAAGTTATTTTAATACGGTTTCTTGTTTTCGACACATATCACCTGCAATAGTATTGCGAAGAAACAAAAAGAAATAAATTGAAGGACCATCCAAAGCTCGACTTATTGTCGTTTCCGAAAATAACTGATATTTTTCCGTTATAGGCTTACATATATCGCTAGCAGCCTGCAAGTATTTCAAAACTTCTGATGGCTGTATCAGTCCAGGTCTCGATTGGATCTCGTCGCTTTTGATGCTATCCATCATAAGACTTAGCAAGTAGCGAGTATGCGTCAATTCATGCGATGAGCAGTGATTTGCAGTGATTTGTCGGAATTGTTGGTATAGATAGAGATTCGAGTCAAGATGGATCATGTGGAATTCCATCTGTTCTGCGGATACATAAGTAATGCCTTAGGCATAATTGGTGAAAGAGGTGATTGGTGTTATTAATATCCCTACTCTCATCGGTCATGTTTCATAGCTATAACAAAATTGTAAACAATACAGCCGATTAGACACGAATTTTTGCTTAGATGCTGATGGTGATGAGGAGAGATAGTTTCATAGAGATTTCACTAGATGAAGGAAGCACTTCTAATTGTAGCTTTTAGAGTTGCAATTTCGTCCTTGCTTGGCTATTTAGTATTTGCATAATAATATTTATTAACGTATTAGGAGTCTATTAACTGCGTGAAAAATGAAAATCTTCTTTTGGTTTAAACCGAAATTGTTTTGAGCTAATTATCATAGAAAAAATGAGTGCCTTTAGGCTAATTTTAAGGTAATTATTTCATACGATAACATATTTGCATGTTTTAAATTCAGTTATATGTTGTATAAAATTAAATATTCGTAAAAATATCATAAATAAAATAAAGTAGATGATTTTTTATTGAAATTCAAAAACTTTGAGCTGATTATTTATTTTAATTATATTAAAATTTATACAAAATCAGTGATAACATAATCAAAAAAGTATTATATCAGTTTTTTTTTCATGATCGAAATATGCTGCTTGGATCAATTTTTTTGGTAAATTTTTATAGGAATAACATTGATTCAATTCGAGTGATTTTATAAATCACCTTTATTTCTATCCTAAAAAATGAACCGCTGGTGAAATGGCCTCATTCGATGGAGCTGGTCAAATTAGCTAGAAATAAAAAACGATATTTAAAAGAATAAGTATTAGCTATCATTTAATCGATGAATAGATAAATTAATTTAGGTATTTTTGCAATATTCTATCGCCCATATTCCGTATAAGAAAATTTTTGAACTTGGCCAAATTTTCGAGGATTTTGGATGCTTATCGACTAATGCCATATGTGGCAAAAATATGGCATTTCATACAATTCAACGAAAAACTCTGCATAATTCGTTACGTGTAAAATGCTTGCAACGTTGTTCATGTGTAGATGCGCGGTATTCAGAAATTAAAGAGAGATGTGTTCAAATATTACCTAATATGGATTTTAAAAGTATAAATAGTACAATTTCTCAGGTAAATATTTCTTGAAAATATGAAATATATTTCGATGGATGGATGGAAATTTTATAGAAGAAATAGTTGAGAATGTAATAATTCGAAGTTAAAAAAGAATGACAAAAAAAAAAATCGCTTAATTATAAATATTTATGAAATGCCTAAAATCAACAGAGAATGATTAGCATGAGCTTGAAATTGGTTGCATCCATTAATACTAAGATCCATGTTTCTATTTGCGTCTCATTTTTAAACTGGTTATCGGGCGAAAAAGTCTTAGCGCGATAATCAGTGATAATCATAGCCAAACCACGAATATTAGGTCGTGATATTTCAAAGGGAAATCTGAAAATTTAGATTTTAAATTGTTAAAATTATAAGAAATTCTATAAGATATAATCGTATCGAATATTTCATAAAAATAGAATTATTTCTTATAGTGTGAGCGGTGTAGCAGTGTATCGCTTATACCAGTGATTCTCAAAATTTTTTCCCCTTTGACCCCTCTCTTTCGGATTATTCAACCTTATCGCCTTCTCATTCAGAAAATTCCATTCTTACTGTTAGACAGGTAAAGATCGGATTCGAAAATGTAATTTTCAATATTCTTCAAGAAAAACCGCTTGATTTAAAACAAAAAAAACACAAAAACAAGAAAAGTAAATTGTAAAATTAAAAAAAATTATCCATATTTCACAACTTGCATTCTTAATTTTGGAAAAAATACCGCATTAAGTGTTCTACAAGCAAATTTAATTTTTTTACGGTTGATAAGAAGGAAATTTTTTTATATTTGGTTGAAAATTCATTAAATACAGATTATGAATTTTATTCGACACTTAACATGATCCATTCGTAGCTCCGCGATTCCTTCAATTGCAATTCCCGTAATTCCTCTTTTTTCCAAATTTTTTCTATCTTCTACGAGAAATATCCAATTGAGAACCACTGGCTGAGAATTAAGATTAGGTTTTCTACTCATTGAAGGAAGTCCTTAAAAGTCAAACTTGAATAGCGCTGAGGATTCACTTCCATCCCAAACCGATTCTCTGGAGAATGATCTTATTCTAGTGATCAGTGAAGCAAATCAATTTGGGAATGGTAAGCGCTTTGAAAGGAAAGATAACATAAGAATAGCAATAATCACCATCTTAATCACAAAGAAAAATGCATTACAAATTTAATCATACGGCATAAGCTAAATTAGTCAGATTTAATACTTAGTAACAGTGATTTAGCTGATAAAAAACACTTTGGAAATTTCAAATCGAATAAATAAATAGTATTACTAATAGACATCAACGATCCCTTCAACATCTAAAGAAGAAGAATCATACAAGTTAAACGAATTGATAAGTGATCATAAATGTCAAATGGTTGGTCGTGAGTGTGGAAAAAATATGGTGTTCCGAGAATTTGCAAGATTCAACACATCTTGCGTCGATAAATGTGTCTGTGCGGATAAATTTGTGGAATATGATACGCAATGCCTTCGATATATTTGGTACAATCGCGCTAACAATGATAACAATAACGATTATTTAACGACGGTTAGCTTCGTTATTTATTTTATAAATAAAATTTCCAGCTTATCTTGAAAAAAATTGAATGAAAAAATTCTTTCATTATCAAAAATTTAGATAATAGTTTCTGTTGGTTAGTGGGATTCAAATTTAAGTGAGTGGTAGATGTTCATCACTTGTGCTTAGACTCGCTTCACTGGCTCTTAGTATGACCAGAAACATTGCAAAGTAAGGGAGAGGCAAGTGGCACAACTGGCTCTCTGGTAGTACGAGGATTTCTAATACTGAAAATATTTCTGTTTGAGACAACTTTGGTACTTGAAAGAATATTCTGAAGAATAACTACTAGACAATTCAGCTATGTCAAAATAAGAGGATTTTCCAATACAAAAATTGGCCATTATAAATTC